TTCATGTGCCGCTTCTGCAAGTATCTGGGCTTCGAAATCTACGAACTACTTACTACTACGCAGAGAAAAAGCGCGAAAAGCAGTCAGAAGGAAAGTTTTGTTGTTCTGACGGTGTTCTATATTTAATTTGTTTAAACGCTCATCTTGCATTGCAGCAGCAGGGTCTTTAGTTTGATTTGCTGTCATTGCCCCCGCAACCTCCTTTGTGGAACTTCTTCTGCTGGCCGGGCCATTAGAGACGAGGCATTAACTTTAACTTGTGAGTTCACACTTTTGCTTTGCTGCTTCTCTTCCTTTTTTTTGCCACTGCGTAGACAAAGTTCATTTAACTTTTCACACTTTATTTGCCTCACTGGCTGGCTGGCTGTCTGTTTGTCTGGGCTGGCGGCGTCGCACAGTTCACACCGTAGGCATTGAGGTAGAAAAGCGTTGACTTCCCCTTACCAAACACCAACTAGTGCTGCCATAAGCCACCACCGTGAAAAATTAAAGTCTCAACAACATGTGCTTTTGTAAATAATTTGGTTAAGCGCGCGCTTGCGCGCATTTTCCGCTCTATGATTTGCCTCAAATGCCTCAAAAGTAATAAATAATTCTAAAAGCCATGCCTTCACAGACTACATACTTGTAGATATGTGTGTGTGGCTTATGATGAGCGACATATCAGCAGCCTCATAAATCTCTGGCGTGCTGACCCAGAAAGCCAGCTGCAATTTCTTTCAGTGTAGCCAAAGACAGACATTTAATTAGCCGCCGTGCTGCTGCTGCCAATTGCTGAAGCGTGGCCAACGTGCTGATGTTGCTTTGACTGCTTATGCCTGAAGTTCTTGAGGCACTTTTCGGTCAGATGATGGGCTTCAAATGGTTGGCTGTCAGCTGAGCAATTGCCAACATTTACAGTTAAGCGTGATGTTTGACAGCCAATCGATTGGCATGGCATTGATGAAGATGAAGATTAAATATGAAAAAATATGCGTGTCTCAAAAATTGGCTTATGAAGTGGTGAAAAATGGGCATCAACAAAATTCCATGCGAGGATTTCCCTCAAAATAAAAGACTAAAAATTTCAAATTGTTATCGGTTTTAACCTTGGAAGTCAATAGCAAGGCGACTGTTAGCCTTAAGTTTTTGAAGAAATGGGAAAGAATTAAAGCGGCCAATTGCCTGAAATTGTTCTTCAACAGTAATGCCATGGAATTCCAACTGCGCAAGAATAAAAGTTAACTTACTTTATTAATTAACATTTAACATATTATATGGAATATGGTTTCTTTTTAAAATATCATGAATGATAATCTATGAGCTTATATTTGATTTAAACCATGACAAACACTAATAGCCGCAAGTCTTTGCTTGACAATAACGCTTTGGCAATTTCGATATCAAATTAAAAAACACACATTTTAAATAATAATAAAAATCAACATCGTTATGATATTTGTTTGTTGTTAATCTGTTATATGCCATCTCTGCCAATTTTTTTATAAGTAAAAATTGAACGTTTGCATTTGTGGTTACTTAAATAGAATTAATACAGCAATTGTGGTTTTAATTCCCAAATATTTTATCTGTTACAATATTATGATACCATTTTCCTTTCAAAAACATTTCTTTGCCATTAACGTTAAACATATGTGCGTATACGTTTCACATAAAAATGTTTATACCACAAACGCAAACACAAATACACTCCGATTATTGGGTTAATGCCATTGGCATAAGGCAATCAAATGTTAAGAGTGCGGCTTAAAGTGCCTTCCGAGCAACAAGTGCATCTTTGTCAACGGACATAGCCATAGGCTGATCCGTTCGTGGCACTAACAACCATTAATAAAAATGTGCTTAAGAGTGGCCAACAACAACAACAACAACTGGAACAGCAACAACGCCAACAGTTTGGCCTATTTTTTGCGCCAACTGCACCTAAAACAAGTCACATACACACACACACACACACACACACACACATGCACACATGACACATTTGCCTGCCTTGCATATGAGCGGCTCATAAAAACGTAACGAAAATATCAAAAGACTTAGGCAACGAACTTGTTTTGGTCGCATGCAGTTGGCGTGCATACCAAGTACTACTATATGTGTGAGTGTGTGCGTGTGTGTGTGTAGAAGTGTTAATAAGCACAGCAACAACAGCAACATTGCAGCTAGTTAATATGAAACAGCTATTTCCACAACAACAACAACAACAACAAGAACTGCAAGTAGCACAACAGGTAGATAGATAGGAAGACAGGCAAGCCAGCCAGCCAGCCAGTCCAGGCGAGCATGCAGGCAGGCAGACAGGCCAGGCAGCCATTCGGGTAGGCAGCAACAGCCGCTCAAACAGCAAAGCCGTACGTCAGCCAGTTAGTCATTCAGCCATTCAGACAACCAACTCGAGTTGGCATTAAAAGAAACCGTTAAGAAATCTTGTTTCCAAAGCGCGTTAAGTTTTTTTCTATACTGTACCTAGCTGAGTCGAATCGTGTGCGTCGTACATGGAGCTGGGACGCACGATACTTGCACGCTACTTTTTTATATACATTTTATTTTTATTGTGCTGTTAGGGGGTTCTCATTGTGATGTCAAGGTATTGGCATTCTTGGCATTACCATCCAGTGGCATAATGTCCAATCAGCTTTAGCGCTACACTGATCGCAAAGTGACATTCTCAAATTTAGGTTTTCATCAAACAAAAAGCGAGATCTGGCAACTGGGGCCTGTTAAAAACCAGCGGATAAAAGGAAGCATTACTAGATCAGAAAGAAATAAAAAAAATCACATATTTGAAACAAGATGCACTATTTGAATAACCGCAATGAGCTGAATATAGAACTATGAACTAGAATTCAGTATAGGCGTAAGCGTTAACATTTAATTTTCTCTGTGTCTTTTCTATTTTCTTTTCAGTTGTCAATCTAAAATTAAAGATTGATTTTGATTTACTTAAAATGCAATTAGCAGCTCAGGGAAGGAAAATAAATAAGCAAGGCTTGATGAAGCATATGTAGACTTTTCGAAATGACATTCACTTAGTATTATACATATTTCTAAATATAGTGAACAGTTTTATTTTTTCATTTTATAAAAGCTACCTTGTAACGATCTTCTATAGGCTCAGAGGCTCTCATTTCGCAAACCACATCCTGATAACTACCGAACAATTATTTTCAAATGTGTAAATGCATTTAAATAAATCGTATTTTGACTATTTCGGTGAAAAGAATTATTGCCTAGACTTTAATATAGAATAGATGTATATATGTAATATCTCTCCATTGTTTCAACAAAAATTGTGTTAGGGAATGAAAGGTATTAACTTTCTAAAATGTTGTTCTTGCAAATCAAACCAAGATTAATTAAAGTTAAGGAATAGAAATATTAGTAATTCAATTAAAATATTGATGCTTGTTTGCCGCTTGTTTTATTAAGTAACATAATAACATTTTTAGTTTCCATTGTGGGTGTTGAGGCTGTGCCGTGCAATGGTTTGTCTAGTTGGGTGAAAGGTGATTTCATAAGTCTGGCTAATATTGATTGATTATTGTGGCCGGCATTTCCGTCAGATTGTTTTGAGTAGCTCCTATGCCCCTGTTCCATAAATTGTCATACCTACTTACAAATGACAGAAAAAATAGCCAAACAACTGAGCAACTCGTTTAGCAGGTTGGCTTCCAGCCCGAGTCTTAGCGTCAGCCTCACCACCAGATTTGTCATTAACGATAATGTGCTTTGGTATTTTTATGATTTTTATGTGTAAAGTGTGCGCCATGTTTATGACATGTGCTCTAAGTTTGTGAGTTAGCGAGCTGATCGTGCAAATTCTTAAATAAGATGATTGGCCGAGCATGATTCGTTCTTTGTCTAATGAACGGCCGTAGACCAAGATGAAGATTAACCCGCAGAGTGTTGGCTTAAAGTCGCTAAGCACTGTGGAGGCTTAGGCCAGCTTGAAACCATGAGCATATGTGCTTTAGAGCTGTTAGTCAAGTTGCTATTATTATGCTTATGCTGCAACATTTTCTGAAGTGTTGTTTTCTTTGCATTTTATTTTAAAGCTATCACAGTGTTTTCAGTGTTCTATTGTGGTTTTTTAAAGAAACAATAATCTTAGAGTAGGATTAAAATGATTGGCTAATACAGACTTCTTAGTTGCTTCGGAAATATCAATGTCCCGTTTGTGATACCCTAATAATATGTAAAACTTTATACTATTTGGTATTGGTAGGTTCAATGAAGAATATTTGTATATGTTATATACTTATTTGCCTTTGAAAAAAACCAAAACTCAAAACAAATTTGTAAATAAAACTATTTCCCAAGCCGTGGTTTTTCGCCAGCAGATTCAAAACTCAATTAAGTTTTTGTCAAGTTTTCTTTCAACAAATAGGGGCGTCTAAAGCAATTTCCCATGTTTAAATACTCCAAGTAGTGGATAAACTCTTTCCCATGAAATGAGCTGCAAAAACAGAGTTTTCTATGGAATATCGAGCACTTTAGTGAATGCTAAGTGTAAATTAGCACACGGTTCTAACAGTTTTTTCATTTTAACTGCGGATTGCACGCCCCTCAAACACCAAGGCCGTCTAAAACTCAGAACCAAAGAGCGGAAATGCTTCAGTAGTCAATTAACAGATCTAAGAACTTTAAATGCTGCGCTTACTTAATTATATTGCATTTGGCCAAGAGCAGTAACAAATAATTGCGCAGCGCACCCAAACTAAAGTTAAACGGAAATCAAAAAAGCAATTGGCAGCAGCCCAGCCTGTGCCATACCATAAGAGATCAGAGCAACACCCCAACGACATCCGTTTTCGGTAAACACGTATACGTAGTATGTGTCAATATATAATTAACAATAAACTATTGGCTTTGATTTATGCGCAGCATTATCTTTGGCCACACCTCTGGCAAAATCCACGCACGTGTTTGCCAAATGCAATTGGAATTTGTTTGAGTATATATTGTTGCTGTGTGTGTGTTTTTTTTTTTCAACTTACCATTTGGACACGAAAACGCTTCATCAGCCGTAATTGTTTGGACCAGGATCAACAGCAGCAGCAGCGGCAGACTTAGAGCGGCCAGCCAACTTGAATTGGCTGCCGTCGATTTGGCCATGTTGTTAAGCTTTTGCCGCTCGTTCCGGCGGCCGATTTTGGAATCCACACGAATCGGCAAACGAAACCGTGAAATCGTTGTGCTCTGCAATGGAAATGGCATAAAAAATATGAAATTAGTTTTTCTCTCTTGTTTAATCAAAGCCAAGAAATTGCTCTGAAAAGTAATCAAAAATTGCCTTCGGTCATGCTGCGGATTCGCCCCAAAATAGACGATTGATACGGGATGGAACAAAAATGTGATAGCGGTCCAAACTGGTTGCTTGATTCACACTTCGCTGTGCTTCAGCGAACACATACACACATATACATATACATATACATATACATAAAGAATTACACATATAAGACAACTCATATGACAACATTTTTCGTTTCTAGTTTTTGTTAAAGCTTTTTATAAATATAAATGATTAGCAATCAGAAACCGAGTCTGACTCACAGCTTTGCAGCACGTGTTCTCCAAATGGAGGCTGCATTTTAGAAAGTCTACTAACGGCCATAAGCCACAAAATTCACCTGCAAGAATTTGCATATTTTATAAAGCAGTTATAAAGTATTTATTGATTCATTTGGAAGCCGCATTTGAGCGCTGAATTCGGAAATTTTCTGACTAAAACGTTCAAAGCTAATATTTGCAAACAACATTTTTGTAGAGTGAGCAACGAAAAGATAAAATTTATTAATGAGGGCCCGATTTAGCAAGCCAATGCTTTTGAGAAAGAGCGTGAAATATGTAAATATAATTAGTTTATTATATTTAAGGAAAAATGTTCAACAAGTGGTTTGTCTTGGTTTTCTTTAAAGCAGATCTGAAAACTGTATTGTTTTTCTACAAACAAAACTTCGTCAAGCAAGTAGTCATTATCTCGAAAAAAGGTACAGTGGAATATTCCCATTCGACCATTTATCGATGGTAAATTTAAAAATTGAAATTAAAAATTTGATTCCCTTACTTTAAGAAAGTACTTCTTCAATATTCTTTTTGCGACTTTTCGTTGTCTAAATTCTCTAAATTCTAAAGAGAATTTTACTAAGTGTTTTGCGGATATGAATAATGAATATTAAACCTTTTCGAAGGTATATTTGTGTATGTTATTAATTTATTTGTCTTTAAAACGAACCAAAACTTAGTGGTTTCGTTAAATTCTTAATTAAACAGTGCATCAACAAAATAAAAACTGTTTCACAAAGTCAATTAAATGTTTTCTAACAAAGTTGTCAAGTTGTCCTTGCTTATTTTGTTCTTTAAATGAATTTCGATTTCAGAGATGCCTAAAGTGTAGTTTAGTTGCTTTTTTATTTATAACAAAAAGTTTCCGCTTATAAATCAAATTAATAATTGAAATTGAAATTCTGCACAAACGGGAAAATGGAAATATGGAAACTTATAAACGGTGAAATGTTTTGACGGAATGGTGTCAGTTTTCATTTTCAATCATTATTAATTTAGCTTTCATGGCTGTTGCTCCACTTTCCGATATTGTGAAAATGCATTTATTTAAACGACTTTTCTATGAACGACATAAATAGGTCTTTTCGAAAACAATTCCACCATTCTAAGCACAGTGTGCATTAACTTTTCAATGAACTCGAGCGCCTTCAAGTGGCATAAAAGTCAAGCTCATTTGTTGAGATATTTAAGCTCATTTTCCATATGAACAAATAGTATATACAATCATACGAGTATACACTGATATATAAAGTTTAAGGCTTTTGCTTTTGTTGGCATAAATCACGAGTGCGTGTCTGTCTAAAGTGTCTCATTGTTGAATGGCCAGACATGCACAGACATTCAAATTTATTTAAACAGTAGTGTGTGTGCCTTTTCATTCAAATAAGTCATGGAGCCCGACTGACTGCTTGTCTGTCTGTCTGAACACTCGTTTTTCTGACCGGCAGTCGTGGCTGCTGTAAGTGGAGCTGAAGGCGCAAGGTTGCCGTTACTCTCAAGTAATTATAACTAACTAACTTTTTTATGCATTGTGCCTTTACACGTTGTCATTGTTGTTTATGAACTTGTTTATAAACATTTGTACAGTTTTAGCAGCACTTTGGGGAGCTTGTAACGCCCACTGCTTTCCCAAAACTTGTCACACTACTTGTAGTATGCTTTTATATGGGCGCTCGTCTTTGTCATTAACTAATTATAAGCATTTAAAATCAACGCCCAACAACAACAACAACAACAACAACAAAATAGTCTCTAATCGAAGGTCCGGCAAAAACATTTCTTTATGTCTTTGACTAACAACGTTGATTTCATTTGTTTGTTTACACGCAGCACCCACACACAAATATTTGTTTTAGACGAGAAACAAAAACAACAAAAGCGCGACATATGGCCAAAACTGAACACTCACACACACACACACATACAGATCTTTTGTGTTGCTTTGCAAGTTGCTTTCTGGGCCAAACCACATAGCCAACTAATTGCAACAGTCAACCGACATGGAAGCCGCTGACTGCCGACTGCCGGTTGTTGTTTTTGTTGCCGCTGCCGCAGCCACAGCCACAACCGCAGCTGCCTTCAGGTGGTGCACAAAAATGTGGTTTGGTTTGTGGCACACAGCTGCAAACATTTGGCTTAGCCAATTTTTTTCTATTTTATTTTTGAATGGAGCTTTTCAAACATTTGATATGCCCGAAAGAGAAAATCTTGGTATGCATAATAAATTGTGAATTATAATTTTCCAAAAACACAAACAAAAAAGTGCATGCAAGAAAAATGCGCACAGGAAACTAAACCAGGGATGTGAATGCTTTATGAATGAAAAAGTGGTTGGCTTGGGCATTCCAAAGCATTCTAAAGCCCGTATTCATGAAGTAAAAGTATTATCTACAATTCATTCGTTAATGAGTTTGTTCTGACTGTTTGATTCTTGATTAGCTCAATCGAAAAGAGCTACAAAGCTGAAGTTCGAACAGGAAAATGGAAAAATTTAAACTCCAAAAGGGTGAAACGGACTTTAACGATATAAGAAAAATTAGTTAAAAAATTAGTTATTAATTTCAAACTGGGTTTTAATTGGAACTCGCAGAATGAATATTGTAAATTGAAATAGATTTAGTTTAATAGCACGTTTATTATTCAATATTTGGAAAGATTATAAATAATTAATTATTTAAGGCATTAATTTATTGATTTTTAATGTTCAAAAAATTTTGCCATTCAATAGTAACATTTTCTGTCGTAAGCCGTTTGAATTCTGCAACGTTTTCCAACCCTGGCTAGCAATACACTGTACACTGACAAGGCATTGCATAATCCACGGTCGCTATGAATTGATGGCTTGCGTGCGGCCAGCGCCCTTTGGGAATTGTTTTTAAACATTTCTCTTGATTATAATTATTAGGAGAAAAAAAAAAAGGTTCTTTTTTGTGTCTAATTAAAGCCGACAGCATGTGATGCTATTGTTGTTGTTGTTGTTGTTGTTGTTTGAGCTGCTGACTGGTGTGAGGTGCGTGCGACGTTAGCTTCGCTTCGCTTTGCTTACTTGCAAATTTATTTCGAAAAAAAGCCGCCAGCATCATCGCCGTTAAGTCTAAGCCTCTTTGAGTGGCCGCATCTGGTTATGGGCTTACATTTTCGCAGGCACTAATCAAAAGTTATCTAACATCGTCTGTATGCCTCTATCTGTATGTGTATGATGTTTGAGCGTAAATGAAACAAATGCAGTGCATGAAGTTGTTCAACCTTCGCGTTTGACTAAATTCAAAGCTGTTCATATTTAGCGGAAGTCGGTAATGGAATGGGCGTCGGCATATAGACAACAAACGTTTTGTATTACAAAGCAAGCTTTATGCTGCGCTTAGAAACTACAATTGAAGATTGTCTGTCTGATAAGTTTATGAAACACTTAACTTGACAAAATTGAGAGTGATATTGAAGAAGGAACTTCATTGAATACAAAGAGTTTAAATTGTCATGTCTAACTCAAATGATTTGGCTGGCGTATGTATGAGTTTGTTTTTGAAAAGACTGCATTAATCGTTTAATAAAAATAATAGTTTTTTCGAGCTATTGGTAATAAACATAAAAAAGGCCTGATAATTAAGTAAAAAGGATGATACCTCATCTATTTGTATTTCTATCAATCCATTTATTATGTCTCCGTTTATATTTCTGTCCATCCATTTATCTACATTTATCTATATTTATGTTTCTTTTTCTATTTAAATGCATATTCATCTATCTATCCATTTGTCTCTCAATCTATTTTTACATCTTTATATTAATTGAACTATCGAATTATCTAATCATCCATTTATTTATCCTTTCATTTCATCCATACATTCGTCTTTCTTTTCATTTATCTATCTATCCATCTATTTCCCTATCCTCAAATTTATCTTACAATATATTTATTTATTTTTATTGTTATTTTTATCTATTCATTTACTATCTCCATATTTTTATAGATCTATACAACGATTCAAATATATATATTCATTTATTTACCGTTATTTTTTGTATTTGTCTATTCTTTAATCTTGCATCTATTTATCAGCCAGTTTTGGACACATTATAGTTAATCCATCCGAACCCATATTATTATAATTAGATGGGAATTAAATGAATAATGCAGAATAAAGAAACACAAAAATACAATACTTATAAGAACTTAGAAGGAAATATGCAATAATTACTATAGAAACTGCAATATATTAATTTCTCATATTTCTGGCTCATAACCACAAATTTCACTTAGTATTTCTTAATTCCACAAATCTGTTTATAATTTACCATAATTTTCAAAATTATGGCCACTCAATTCAAACCCCAAAGGTGTAGAAACAATTAAGAATCAGTTAGAAGTCAACACGTTGTCAAATATTTGACATTCAAGTATAACTGCTGTAAACGATTTATAGCTGACACGCTAATGATGGAGCCATAGACATAGACAAATCGGAAAGTAAACAAAGAGCCTCGATATGTAGGTGATCACATGGATAACTACTACTAGATATGTCAGCTACAATTTTTAGCCTGTCTGACTCAATATGCATTATCTCAATGGAAAAAAATGCAGTATGCAATATGTAAATTTTATCATCATATATCAATTATAATAAAAT